AACCATGTGCACCTGCCGTTTTGGGCGGAGAATCCTGCCTTTTTGAGCACGCGCGAGAGCCTGGGGGGACTTCTGCGACGCTGATACTAAACGGGTACAAGCCTCCATTAAAGACAGTTGCTCGTCTACTAAGTCTTTTTTAAGAGGCGCAGGATCAAGCCTAGTTCGATGGGCCCATTTCTCGAAAATCATTTACAGTCGGACCATGCCGGAGAGGGAAATGAAAGTCCCCCAGACCACTGGGACTTCTTTTTCATTTCTGGGACGTCCCTGGCCCCATGTCCGACACACTCCGACTATACGTGACTTTCTGAAGTGACGGCCTATCGATCTGCAAGCGGCTGGAACACTTCAGGTCCTACTGTGGGAGACCCCGAAGTCGGACAGTCTATGGTAATCAACAACTCTCGTAAGTTAGAACTCACATACTTGCGATTCCTCTACATGCATCTGTCGGCATAGATCGTGGCTACCTTATGATATCCCTACTGTATTTTTTGGATCGAAACTGCGAGCTCCACGAATATTTTTCTGTGGGAGGTACCAGAGTCACGCGATACTGCGTAGTCGGACAACCGTGGGAACCCTCCGCTCTGACCGCCCTCGTCGCCAACATCGCTCAAAGAATGTATCGTGCATCCCGCCCGACCGCCTGGTTTAACTGTCGGAGCATGCCAAATGTTATGACAAGCCAATATGAAGACATAAAACAAAACTAGGTGCTCTGTAACCGGCAACTCCTCCGTACAGGTGGCGAAACATCGGTTTCAATGGTAGCTTGCTGAGGTGTAAATGATTCACCACTCGGTACGTCTGATATTAGCCTGTCAGTATGTGCAAGGGTGTGTACTGCTCCAGAGGAACCTACCTAAGGTGCCGGGTCCAGCGATAGCGACTTGCTCAATGCCAGGATCAGCTTGTCGCCTGCTAGTCTGCGGTCTCGGTACTATGTCCCCACTCCTGGTTCCTCCCGCTCTACCGGAACACACGAGAGTCTGCGCCCCTTACCCAATGATTTACGACCAACTTTGCATCTGGGTCCTGCTACAACAGCATCCCGCTTCTGTCGCGCCTTCTCGGCTCTGGCTTCTGCTTTCTTTCGGCGCTCTTCTTCTGCCAGTCTCGCCTTCTCCTGCCGCGTCTCTTCACGCAGCCGTGCCTTCTCTTGACGCACCCGTTCTTTCTCCAACTCTGCCAGTTCACGCTCTCGACGTCTCTCCTCAGCCTTCCGAAGGCGCTCTGCTGCAGCATGCTCAGCATCGAGCGTCTTCTTGTACCTTGCAATTTTCTCCCTCTGGGCCTTGAAGATCGGGGCCGCCTCTCTGAAGAGCTCTTTCTTTATCAACTCGATCTCCATCCGTTCCAACTCCTCCAAAGCCTCATTGTGAGTCATATGACGTGCATGGGAAGTATCAATCCGTCTAGGTTGCTTCTTCTTCTCCTTGTGGAAAGCCAGCTGACGGAGCCTCTCATTCTCGTTTTCCATGAAGGTCATCTGTGCGTAATCAGCCTCTGCCTGCTGAAATGTGTTCTGTATCATGGTAGTAAGCTCTGATATACGGATGCGAAGCTGCTGGCGGGAGGTGTTGTTAGGAAGTGGTGCAGGTAGGACAAGCTTGAGCTTCGGACGCAGGCTCACGGCACTGCCATTCGAAGCATCTCCAGAGCAGCTTTGTGCACCAGAAGAATCAGTGACAAGGCCAGCACGAGCATCAGGACCTGGTGCCGATGAGTCAGGTGGAGATGCCTGTTCGTCAGGGCTCGGAGCTGCTCCCGTTGGAGGCTCGCCAGCAGATGCAGCGGGCTCTTCTGCTAGATGACCCAACCAACGAGGGTGCACTACTGCGAGAGGCTGCGCTGCCTTTGTCGTCGTCAACAGAGAAGGTTCGATTGCCGATCTTGGTATGGCATCAGGGTTGAGGGGCCAGATCCCTGTTTTCGTGAATGCAGAACGGATTGTCGTAGGCTTAAGTGCCCGTTGTCGCGCAGCATGGTAGTAGACGAGTAGATTGTGCTTGTCAATAGGTATCATGTTTGCCGATGCTGCATTGACCTCGGCCTTCCAACATGATGCGAGTGGGCCAAGAACACCAACATCACAAGGCTGAAGTGCGTGAGTTGTATGCGACGGTAGACACAAGACAATGATCTTATGGTCTGCTGCGAACTTGCAGAATTTGTATGTGCAATGTGAGTTATGGCCGTCAAGGATGAGAAGTCGGTAGCCGCCACTTGTATTCCGCGCAGCTGTGACTGGCTCGAAGTCTCGCTGAAGCCACTTCAAGCCAAGTTTCTTGATCGGTCCAGCCTTTCGGAGAGTATGACAGGCTGTGAAGTCAGGTTATTAGGCATTCAATACATGTTGTGGGACAATACACACCTTGCTTTACATGGGTTATTCCGAGCCCACTCAAGATCTCTACGCTGGCCCTGGTAGATCACTGATGGGTGCAGGGCAGTGCCATCAGCACAAACGGCTTCGATAATGGTTACCAATTCCTGGTTCCCATTCTCGACTTGGTACACTGTCCGAGCATCACGATCCACAATCGCCGCGACGCGCTTTCCGAGACCCATCTGAATACCTTTTTCATCCATGTTGTACATGTTTTCAGGTCGTATATTGTACTCCTCCACGAGCTCCTGCAAGAGATCGAAGAACTCCTGCACGACCGTCGGATTAAGAGCAGCCGCCTGGCACTGCTCAAGATTGGTAGTCCACCGTACCTTAAGCTCCGGGTGATGCTTCCGGAAGCGTTTGACCCAAGTTTGTCCAATGTGCTTCTTCGCAACGTCAGCGGCATATTCAATAATGAGTGCTGGTGTCATGGGTAGACCACGGCGTCCCATGGCCTTGATCCACTCAACAAGGACTTGTTCTTCCACAGCCGAGAGGTTCTGCTCATGCTCATGGGCCCTCGAGCGAGCCTGTCACTTGCCGTTGTATCGGTCAGCTAGTGTGCTTTTTGAGACACGGTATGCCGAGGCTGCATCCCAAAGTGAGAGGTTCGGGAGACCCTTTGAATTTTTGCCAGAGCGCTGAACAGCTTGAAGAGCAGCAATAAGACGTTCCTCAAATGTAGCAGAGTCAATCCAATCAGCAGTACGAGCTTGCTTAGGGGAAGTGCAGCAAAAAAGGAGAGCTGGTAGTGGACTCGACGGGACAGGATGGGGCTGGCAGTGGGTCAGAAAGGCAACACGTAGCCTCTAAAAGAGTATAAGATAGCATCGGGGTAGTGGGGTGACCCTGAGGCTCCTGAATCCGCATGCGCGAGGAAGGGGGAATCTCGTGAAAACACGTTGTCTTGCAAAGCCTCTCACTGGCGCGATATGCAACAGAACATGTGTCTGATCGAATAAAGGTAAGGATTACATGTCAAGTAAGTGAACAAACCATCATTTGGACCGGCTACGACCTCCATTAAAAATCCGTCCCATTTGACATTGGCCCGCCTCAAAAACACCTCTTTACTGGTTCGACATCTCCTCAGCTCGAACAGAAATCATTAAAAATCCCTATTCATAAAAGATGTCAACTAGAGGTACATGCAGTCATGTATGGTGAGCGACGTATGTGTCCTGAGGGTGTAGCAATGAGCATCGCACAGTTGACGGCCTGCTACCAAGTCGCATGTGGCAACGGCCTCGCGTTCATGTTACGGCTACCGACACATGATCATGCCACTGTATCGTGAAGTTGAGCCTGCATTTTGTCCATCAGGACCATAGGCGATCGAGCAAAGCAATCGGTGCAAAAGGGATAGTGTAGAACATGCACAACAGCGTGCCCAAGATTATCAATGCTCCATCCGCACAGCTTTTTGAGGGAATTGCCGGAAAAGCCGCCACTTCTGATAGGATATCTCATGCAGTTTCCAACCTTCTCGTCTCAAATTTTGTACATAGGTGACTCAGTAGTAGTACTTTGAAATGATATGTGGCTCAGGCGTAGTTGTGGTGTGCAGCGCAAATGGGAGGCAGAGTGTCCGAGTAGCCAGTCTGTCCGGCTACCTGACCCGCGACAGTACCCCAATGCAGTAATTGTGCATGGGAAGGCCTGCTTGAAGTCCGCGCCGAGTTTGATTTGTAAGGTACTATCATTTGGGTAGTTTTGCAAAATTTGCAAAACTACCACAGCCCCTAGAGAGAGCTCTATACCAAATACAAAAATTCAGAAACTTTTTAGGCATGTAGATATAGACTAGTAGATACCCTATGTCAAGCTGGTTTAGGGAAATATCGAGTGGTCATGGAGAGGGAGGAAGAGGAGGATGTTTGCAACCGCCTACAGACCATGTGAGACCTAGATCTGGTACCCATTCCATGGTTTTTTGCCGGATTTCATTTGGAATATACTGGTGCACCATACATTGAGCCACTCAAGCAGCCCGATTGCGAAGAGATTGAGGATGTAGCTATAGCGATGCTGTTTTGCAAAACTTCGAGAGGCGGATCGTGACAAAAACGTGATGGATCTCGTGGGGATGTCACACGTGACAAACTTTTGCAAAACCCCCTGCACACCCCGGCATCTGTCCAGCATCCTCTACGGCACGTATTGAAATACAAAAAAATCACAGTTGGGTACATAGAAGGTTGCTACACGGTGCCATGAAAAAACTTTGACGCAGGAGCCAGCGAACTGAGCGCAACACATCGATTTACAGAGAGTTTTGCAAAACTACCCAAATGATAGTAGGGCGACACTCAAACTCATCGAATCACGTGCTCTTTCCGCTTACATAATATGGTAATGATTCCAATTTCCAGGAGGTCTCCGGAAAACCCGGCCGGGAAACCGCAGAAATGCATTTGGTGATCTCCGAAAAATGAATTTTTTAAGAATTAAATAATGTACCATATTATTTTCAAGTATTCTGTATGCATTACTATTATCCTTTAATAGTTCCTTATCCTCAACTGCGGTAGGTGCTAGAGAGCCCCGAGTCCATGGCGCTTGAGTAGGGTTAGGAGTTGCACTGGCTTATGTAATTTGTGTACCGAATTTGGTGCATTACAAAATCTCGGCATTAATGCCGAATGCCAATATTTCCGACCTTGAAATCTGATAAGGCTCAGAAGCGCAGAAAAACAGGATTCTATGTTTCGAAAAAAGTTGCCACCAAAAATGACATACTACGCAATCTACAGCTTGAATTTTGACAACAAAGTAAGACTGAGGAACCCTTGGTATATGCCATAGCTATCATTCCTCGGTTTTAGTTTGCTATGATTACTCGACATCGTCGAGCCTTATGCTCAGCAAGAATATGGCTGACCAGATCACGCAATGTCGATGAGTTTGAGTGTCACCTATCTTACTTTGAGCTGTTTGCAAAACAATAGAGCCGGTTGGGAGTTTTGCTCGTGGAGTGGGGTGTTTGTCCAATAGTATAATTGTGTAATTTGTGTTAAATAATGAAAATGCAAGCTGGTGGCAAGCATCACATAGTGTGTGCCTGATGCAGTCAGATGGGAGGCCACTCAACCATATATATCATCAGTGTGTTCCCTGTATGCCTTGTTTAGATTGGGGTTTGCCTTTCATTTTGGGAGATTTATTTGGTGTAAGTCCAAGGGTCACTGAGTCTCGGGCCACTGGATGGAGATCTGCCACTGGTACTTGTGGTCATGGTGGACCCTTCATTCATACAGTAATGCATTGCATCACATGCAGCATGGTCCATGGTCAGCAGTAGCCTCTGACTGCCAACTGAGAGAGCCTCAGCCTAATTTTCAAAACAATCATATATAGCTATGTACATAGAGTGACGTCTAAGTAACCAGATGTAATGGAGACTGGTAGAGCTTGATGTCACATGTGACCACTGGTGTGCAACCGGGGTTGCTGGATAATGGCATGGGTTGCTGAGGGGTTGTTGATTAGAATTATCCCGGACAAACACTGCGCTGATAAGCCTCAGGATCGTCTGACCCCCGAAAACGCGGATTCAGCACATCATACAAGCGCCCCGGAGCTTATTCGACACAGCGCTCGCACGCCTCTAGGCTTCTATGGGCTCTAAAAGACTTTTTCTATTTAGCTCCGGACTTCCCAACATCCTCGAGGCGTACTCGGACCCATTCCGCGATTTATCTCCGCGCACCGAAGCTCCGGAGTGACTTAACCAATGCGACTTCTAGCTGCATTAGCTCCGGGACCCGCGGACACTTCTATCGAGGGGCGTCTTCCTCATGCCCACCCTCCAGCACTCACTCCCCCTCGTTTCCGTCAAGATACCGAAGGTGCGGACGCATACGAGTCACCATAAGGTCAGCATCAGTCAGCAAACGGCCGGAGGTAATTAACACATGACCGGCGTGTTGCACGGAGTGATGGGACCGCTTGGGTCAGGTGGCGAAGCGTTGAGGCGACCTATAGGGGCTGGAAAGAGCAAGTGGGAGCGCAAGAGAGTCGTATGGTATATGGTATAGCAGAGGAAAGTGCTGAGCAATCCTGTGGGTAGCGGCATTTATTTGTTATTTATCTCCGGACGGTCGCAAAGCCATTCCTGTAGTATAAATTGTACAAAGTAGCATACAGAAAAATAAGTTTCGACTTCACCATCTCAGAGAATTAGTGTTACGATCTCAGCGACTCGAGAAGTTCGAAAGCGTCGAACCTAGCGAATTATAACCGATCCTAGCTTTGCCAATAGGCCTGACTCGTCGAGTGAATTATCTCCGCCATCGATTCAATTAGCTCCGGTGAGTCTCACATAGCGAAATAAAATTAATCAAGTTTCTCTAGCAATTTCTACTCCCGTGGGCCCGAACCTACACTCGGTTTCATGGTTTGCGACTTTGTCTGCGATTTTCCGGAGATAAATACTCCGGAGCGTCCATTAGTGTTTGTTTCAGGCGTCAAGGTTTTGTTTTATTTTTCTAGGTCTTCCTACGGACTACCCTACGGCGTCTTACTCCTCCTTTCCCCCTCGAACTATTAAATACCCTTCAGTTGTCTCGGACCGCCTTCACCCATATCACGGGGTTTAGGTTTATTCATTTTGGTCCTTGGTGATTGTTGTGTGTCAGTGCATATCAGCGCGCGGAAATGTGATGTTCAGTTTCTTATGCACACGACTGTAAAAACCTGAGCTGGCATTATGTTATGCAAACAGCTGACAGTGATTCTCAAATAGATCACTACAAAGCAGTCTCATGTTACACCTAAAATGGTAACTGCCTTGCCTTTTCTGGAATATTATATGGCATGGCTGAGGACACCCATGTACAACACAATCATCGGACTTTAGCCAGAGCAAGCCAGCAATTGTATTTTGCCTCTCCGTCTCAGTCGCAGCCGGACATCATAGACACCAAAGGCAAGGCCAGCAGAATCCGCTCTATCCACTGTGTTTTACGCTCAACATCTTTCATAATGGGCACTACTGTCTAGTGATGCCGCAGTCCAGTTCCCGAACCTGGGAGAACCGGTTCGAACCTCAGACCAGACCCAGGTTCTGGTCCACGGTCTGGCTTTGGGGTGGACCAAACCTGAAATGAGGTCCAGGTGGAGCCACAGTGCCTGAACCGTACCTAAATATGGTAAGTTTGAAGCCGAACCTGACCGGGCCCAACGCCGTTTCGGGTTCTTTGAGGTTCACGGTCCGGACACTTACCCGAACTGGACCTTGGGTCCGGTCCCAGGTCCGGAAATTTGGGCCAATAACCGGACCGAGCCGAACCGGACCGAGCCGGACCGCGGCACCACTACTAGTACCGTCGAAGCAGGAGAGAGAGGAAACACACAGCTTCAACCATGGCAAATTCACGGCCCGGGCACTGGCGAGGTCCCCACCCAAAGCACGTCAATCCGTGTCGCGTGCGCCGTACCAACGAGCTGGGTAGAAACGCTTTGGCTCAGGAAAGATACGTGGGTTATAATCTGCTCGCAGAGATATTAGCACAGAGGCCGGGGGATCATGGCGCTTTCTGACAAAGTCTGATCTGGCTAGAAGGGAGTTGTATGTTCCAAGCTGGATGTGAAATCGTAGGTAACTCCCTCTTGCCAAAGGGCACACCTCACCGTTCTTGTCCTGAAGGGAGCGGATGCGTGAGCGAGAAGACCATGGTGGCATGCGGCCTCGACCGAGTGCCCAACGGGCATGACTTGAATGGGATATGTGATAGGGCTGAAGGGCCAACGTAGACGGACACGTACCAACTTACACCCTTGCCAAAATTGAGCTCAACGCCAATCAGAGACTGGCGGGAAATAGATACTCCGTCAGTGACCGCATCGGATGCAACCCAAGTAGAAGAGGGCAGCTGTATTGATTGGGTGCTCATGGAAGCTTGCGGTGAGTTAGCCACAATTGCCTATAATTCAATCGGGTTGGCTATTCCCCCATAGTAGCCAAGACTCGATACCGTCGACGTGGCATGATGGAAATCCTTGGAGAAAATGTGCGCAACGCGTTGGCGTACAGGGACAGATAACGGGGAAGAACCAGTCGGAACAGCGGGTTTACTTGAAATAGTGCTTGTAACGTTTTACAAACGAACTGTTATGTGAAGGACCAAGAAGAGCTAGACATGCGCCGCTGAAATTTCTCACGAAGTTACACAGTACGACTCGTATTCAAACCGATCTTCGTACAATCATCTTGCAAGACGTCAGAAGACCGATGGACCACCAACACCAACGAAGGTATTTCAACTTAAGCCCAGGTGCCAGAACCTTCATATCCCTTTCCAGCTCCGACGCCATCGAGGGGAGTTCCTGAGACGACACATTAGCTCGGCGGAACACTATACCAGCTTACAACGCTTACCCTTGAACTGGCGAGGACAATATCACACGCAGAGCATTCAACGAAAGGGCGACGGCAAGAATAGGATATATGCACGTACCACGGCGAGGACATCGTCTTTGGTATAAAAATCGACGGTGAAGAGCTCGTCATACGGCTGCACCCAGATGGTACAGTCCCCGTCGATGATCGACGGGTTGCGGTAGTAAAGGATACCGTTGCTAAACAACCCCTTGACAGAGTCCGGGCCTACGCTAATTGAGAAAGGGGCTCGTCTCGTTGAACCGGGACAGTTGCTACGCACCGGGGATTTTACCGTTGAAGGCCTTGCCCAGCTCCTCGACCTTTGGGATCGCGATCAAGGTCGCCCAGTCGACCTCGGCGATGGCCTTGGGGTCGCTCGCTTTGGTCGAGGCGTTCGACGAGCCGGAGAGGAACTTGTGGAAGTGGTCGTCGGTCACGGTGCCCGACTCGCAGGCTGCGTGAAGTTGCAGACGGCCCTCGAGGTCGGGGTGACCTTTCAGCTCGGAGATGGCTTTGGTTTGAGACATGTTGCGAATATGGTGAGAGTGGGCAGATTGGAGGAATGAGGGGTGTGGTTGCTTCTTGCTTTTATCCGGCGATTGTATGCACCTATTGTCTCGAGAACGACGCTTTAGCATGACACACGCGTATCGCGGCGTTGATGAAGGCCCGGTGAAGGGAGGACGGTGTTGACGGTTGAGGTTGTAAATTTGGAAAGTGAAGGTCACGGAGGGCGGAAGATAAGCGAGGAAAAAATATGTTGAGCTAGTGCATTACGGAAGGTTTGACAGCGTTGAAGCTTGTATTGAGGAATGTCTCAGTCATTGGAGCCACCGTTCGTCTCATTCAATCCTGATCTTTCGCGTAACACGCTGCAGGCCACCATCACCTTCAGAAGAACTCCGGTGTAAGATTGTTGGAAGCATAATGAGATGAGGCAAAACGTCCCTTTGCCAAAAATTCTGATGCGTCGGACGTGTCTTCGGCGCCAATTCCATTGTCTCCATTGTCGTTGCCGGGCGTGAAGACGAGGATATTCTTGACGAGGACCAGAATTCTGGATGCTTGCACCGGCAGAGGCTCTTCTCACCACTGTCAACGTGTCCACGTAATGATTTTAGTTCAGACATCCAAGTGAACGGAAGACGTGTCGTGGACGCAACATGCGTCTATCTCGGCCTTGATCAAAGCCCGATGAATGGAGGAAGGAGGTTCACGTCCTCGTTGACAGTGTGGTGGGAGATACGGAATTTGAGAAATTACGTTCAGCTATTGCATTGTGGAAGGTGTAGTGCAGCTTGTATTGATTAATATGCTCATCTCACTCACGCAAAGAGCTTGCATATGATCCCATGAAGGCTCTGGGAAATTGAAGCCATTACGGATGTCCATGCCACTGTCAGGGCCAGAGTCTTTCCATGTAATCACGCACTTGTAAGACGAAGGTCGTGGGTGCCCTGCCGCTCAGTACTGATATCCGCGTCGCACATCCAGTCAGCACTAGTATCTTCGATTTCAGCGAGCCACATAGCTGGATACCGTCGTTTGTTCTGCTCGTCCGATAGGTGGCCGAGATTATGACGGTTTGCAGCGAGGTTCTTCCTTTGTTTCTTGGAAGAATGGGACATTTATTATTCCAGCTAGCTATGCATAGAGCATATGATAATCGGCTTTTGCCCTCTACAGTATTGCGGATATGCAGCGGCCTGTATAATGGCAGCAATAACAGGCAAGAATCGGTCAGTGGTCCTGTTATCTCAGAATATGTAGCACATATATCCAGGTCATAAGCTGTAGGAGATATCGTCACACAATCGCAGGACATAACCGATCCCAGATCTAGCAAACAATCATCCGGCGTCTTCCTCGGATTCGGATAGGAACGACCGACAGGATAGCACGCAGAGCACTGCAGCAAGCAGACTGAGTAAGAAGTGACTCGAACTGACTTCCATCTCCATGTCAGGATTGCCATCCAGCAACCCGTCCTGGCACTCGCTCCAAGCTTCACAGCAGCCTACCTCGTTAGCTATGCGGAAGCATAAGTCGGAACACTGTTCTGACTTACACTGGGGGCAAACAGCGCAGTTCGCTGGCCTGACATGCAAGGAAAATATGAGGAGTGGGAGAACACGTTCCTAGAATGTTCTCGGCTGCACAAATCAACTCTCAGAACAGGGCAGTAAAATGTTTTCCCACCAATTGAATGGAGATCGATATCCCGCCACCAGACATTTGCCTTCGTCCACAGTGTTACTGTGATGCACAGTACACCACGTCGACTCCCAAGACCAGCAAGTACGCGTACTAGAGGATCCCATCGCCTTACAGTACCAGTAGAGCCTTGTCCTGAAATGCCGTTCTCGCCAGATTTAAGCCTAATGTATCTTGCTCGCACGGGAGGTGTAGTTTTGATGCATAGTTTGGGAGAGCTCGATAAAGACCTGGTCTAGACTTCGCTGGAGAAATAGAGACCCTGCAAGCCTTAGAAATCCTTGAGACAATCATGGTAGGCAGTAGGTAGACATACGCTTGCGCTGAGCGCTGACAGGAGGACCTGCGATGGTGTCCGAAACCATTGGTTCTTCGATTACTTTCGACTGACGCGTCCGAACGACGCGCTTCTGAGGATGGCACGTGCTAGTGATGCCGCAGCCCCGGACTGGTCCGGGGTTCGGATTTTCGGTGGACCGAACCTGAAATGAGGTCCAGGGGAAGCCAGGATGCCCGAACCATACTCATATATGGTAATATTGACAGATTCGAACCGGAAGTGGATTGGACTGGACGCTATTTCGGGTTCGCGGTCCCGGAAATGCTCCTCCTTTGAGAGGGGTTCTGCTCCAGTGGCGCTGCTACAAGGTGCGGACTTATATTATCTCGCATCCCGTAGGCAAGACATTGTCGTGCAAAGAGAATGCATAGACTCTACTTTGTGCAGTACAATATTGCACTAAATGTTCAGTACTGCATTGCATTTCAATCAGCCCCAATGCCTACATGTTACAGTCAGAATGGAGGAGCCGCCAGATAAGTATTGGGAGTTTGGGGTATCCAGCCTCCAATTGGTAAACATGCAAGAGATTCAGCTAAAACAATTAATCATGCAATATTGATTAACAGACACCCATCCTGCGCATTCCGGGAGACGGCACGTCTCTCGGACTGCGCAGGATGGTAATATTCAGCTGGCCTGCTAAACCACGGAAACCTCCACTTATTATGTTCGGCTGGCCACTGGCAGCCTGGGCTGAGATCCGAGGCTCTTCAAGTACACCCAACATCTCTCACAATGCTAGTACTCTCTACAATGTTACTTGGGGGGAGTGGGCCAATGCTGTGCATGGCTGGTTACGAGTCCTGAGCTGGGCATAAGATACTCCCTATTTTACACTGTATATCATAGAGCTGACACAAATATTCCTATCTTTCTTGAAGTATCATTTGAATTTCACTAGACCTCTCAGGATCATCTTGTATATTCCTTGATTTGCTATAGAGCTCTGAATATATTATGGATTTCCCGCATTTTTCACAATTTTTCTGGCCCTTCTACAGCCTGCAATCAATTCCAGATACCAATGATGTAATGGCTCTGCAGATCGGGTGAACCTGCAGAGAGCCTATGTCATAGAAGG